CCGCCATTACCACGTGCGCGACCGTTGGGCCATGCGGTCAAGCACAAGCCCAAAGCTTCGTACATTCAGAACAATAGCCAAGCGGATCCTAGCCCGCACCAATCAGAGGGCCAGGTCCGCAGCCGAGAGCCTATGAAACTCTCGGCTACTGTAAATAACCTATAGGGTGAATAGGGTGTGTGTTTTGGTGGTGGGTTTCTGTGCATATATACCAGCCTGCGTGCCGGCTTACTTTGTCTTGTTCCTGATTGAATAAAGTACTCTTGCTGAAATCACTCCACGTTTCTGAGTACTTTTCATAGACCCAGCAACTGGAATCTGGAAGTAGAAGAAGAAGAAGAGGATGAGGAAGAGGAAGAAGAGGAAGAAGAGGAGGAGGAGGACGAAGAAGAGGAGGAGGAGGAGGAGGAGATTGGATTTATACCCCACTGTTCACTGGGAGCCTCAGAGCAGCTTACAATCTCCTTCCCCTTCCCCTCCCCACCACAGACACCAGATGAAGTAGGCGGGGCTGAGAAAGCTCTTTCCAGAACTGTCCTTGAGAGAACAGCTCTTCTCAGAACTACGGCTTGCCCAAGGTAATCCAGCAGCTGCGAGTGGAGGAGTGGGGAATCAAACCCGGTTCTCCCAGATTAGAGTGAATGACTAAAGAAAGAACATCACAACTACCTATGAACAGTTAGTCACCAATGCTCCCTCTAAGCTGTGGAGTCTTGTGAGCAGAAATTCTACTTGGTGAGCTCTTGGCATTACAGTTGTGAGCGAGCCATTTGGCTGCTGCATCAATCCGTTTGCCCTGGAGCCATTCTCCGTGAGCGAAGGCCGAAATCTGTGAGCCAGGGGCTAAAAGTCTGTGAGCTGGCTCACACTGACTCCAGTCCCCGAGATGTCAAGGGTGCAGCTGGTCGGATGGCTCGAAGAGGTGGTTAGGCAGATGGTGGATGTTTAATGCTGTTTTATTGCATTTTATCTATGTAGTTCTGGCACTAGCCGTATGTTAGCCGCCCTGAGCCGTTCGGAAGGGCGGGATATAAATCCAAAGTAAACAAATAAATAAAAAATAAAATCTCCAGAGGGGAGGGAAAGTCTATCACCGCATAGCCAGAGGTTGTGAGGGTTGGGGAGGGGGGAGGACAGCTGCCCACGTCTCCCTAGTGGGATTTCCCCAGAGCCTCCTGATTCTGCCAAAGCGACCAAATCCCTAAAAACAAGCCCTCAGGTCCCCGTGCAAAAATCACCCTGATTAATGCCTGGACTTGCTTCCAGGCAAGAACACCCGAATGCCGTCACACCAGCGACACCCGGTGGCTGCTAACGGAACAGCAAGGCCAGACTGCATTAAGGCGAGGGCACCGATCCACTCCAGGACAGGGGTCGATTTCCCTGTTGATCAGGATCAGTCAATCCTAAAAGAAACCAACCCTGACTGTTCCCTGGAAGGCCAGATAATGAAACTGAAGCTCCAATACTTTGGCCACCCAATGAGAAGGGAGCACTCACTGGAGAAGAAGACCCTGATGCTGGGAAAGACCGAAGGTCAAAGAAGATGGGGACGGCAAAGGATGAGATGGTTAGACAGTGTCATCGATGCAACGAACATGAAATTGAGCAAACTTCAGAGGACGGCGGAAGACAGGAGGGCCTGGCGGGAGATGATCCATGGGGTCGCGAAGAGTCGGACTCGACTGTGCGATTGAACAACAACAACAGGATCATAATTCGTAACTGGTCATCCTGGAAAGCACAGCAGCCTAGGACAGCCACGCGTTTGTAGCTGAAGAGCAGTAAAGGGGACAGGGTCCCATTTAAGGGGCCGAGGGGAACAGAAAAGACCTCCTCAGTCCCCGTGCCTCCTCTCCCAACTGCTCCTCATCTCCTGCCCTTTTATTCACTTCATTGATACCTCACCTTTCTCACCCACGGAGACCCAAGGCGGCTTACGTAACTCTCCTCCATTTCATGCTCACAACAACCCTGCGAGGCAGGCTAGGCTGAGAGAGTGTGGCTGGCCCAAGGTCACCCAGCGAGCATCCATGGCAGAGTCGAGATTCGAACCTGGTTCCCCCAGACCCTAGCCCAATGCTCTCACCACCACTACACTATGCTGGCTCCCATTTTCACCCCCCCCCCCATGCCACCCTGGTCTTGCAGTTCCGCCACCAAATCTCTCCACCTTCCCGTGGCCAGGGGCATTTCTGGCAGGGGTGGAAGTTGGGAAGACCCTGCCAGCTTGCTGGCTGTGACGATTCACCTCCCGGGCTTGCAGGGACACTGTTGGGGCCTGGCCAAGGCATGAGCCAAACAGCCACTGGGTCCCTTTGCTGTTAGCCCACAACTTGCAGCCAGAGGCTTGCATTAGCCAACCTGGTGAACCCCTGGACCCAGGGCCTGCCTGGGATGTTTTTCTTTGGTTTAATTGCATTGTTTAAATTAGTTGTTTAGCATTTTGGAACATTCAGTGAGCTGCTTTGGGGAGAAAAACACCATAGAAGAGCCCCAATAAACAAACAAAAGTCCTCCACCCCCCATTGAAAGGTGGTTGAAGTTCATGCAACTAACAGAAGACGAGTGGTCTGTCTAGTCCAGCATCCCATCTCACTCAGGGGCCAGCCAGTTCCTCTGGATGGCCAACAACAGGGCAGAGAGGCCGAGGCCTTTGTAGGAACGACAGAAAAGCCCTGCTGGGTCAGACCAGGGAGGGTCCAGCATCCTGCCTCACACTGTAGCCAACCAGTTCCTCTGGAGGGCCAACAACAGGGCAGGGAGGCCGAGGTCTTTGTAGGAACGACAGAAAAGCCCTGCTGGGTCAGACCAGGGAGGGTCCATCCAGTCCAGCATCCCGTCTCACACAGCAGCCAACCAGTTTCTTGGGAGGGCCAGCAACAGGGCATGGAGGCCGAGGCCTTCCCCTGAGAAGAACATCCAAAGGGCCCTGCTGGGTCAGACCAGGGAGGGTCCATCCAGTCCAGCATCCCGTCTCACACAGCAGCCAACCAGTTTCTTGGGAGGGCCAGCAACAGGGCATGGAGGCCGAGGCCTTCCCCTGAGAAGAACATCCAAAGGGCCCTGCTGGGTCAGACCAGGGAGGGTCCATCCAGTCCAGCATCCCGTCTCACACAGCAGCCAACCAGTTTCTTGGGAGGGCCAGCAACAGGGCATGGAGGCCGAGGCCTTCCCCTGAGAAGAACATCCAAAGGGCCCTGCTGGGTCAGACCAGGGAGGGTCCATCCAGTCCAGCATCC